CCAGGGTCAATCTGCCTTTACAGAACCACTTTATATGGAAATAATGGGAGTTTAAAGAAAGATGGAAGAATGTCTCTGCTAGTTATAGGATATAAGATATGCATATAGCTGGAAAGAGATTAGAGATTGATAGACTGGATAATAATTTTAGAGAAAGAGTTAGTCCAAGAATGTCAAAGAAAGAATGAGTGCATGTCAGGCTTCTATTCGGCGGGCCATAATTATAAAGAATGAACATAAGGAGTCTGACTTGCTCATGATGGAGGAAAAACAATCTGCCACTTCTTGAAATCAGAGTAATCCTTAGAAGTGATATGAAAGGCTAATAAATGCTGATGCTATCTAGAATCCTTTAGGGTTGCCACAATGAAGACTAACTTTGTGCATTAAGAATATAAAGGAAGAAGTGACCTCGGAAGAGAGGATGAGCTAGGTTTACGTGGTCCTTAAATATTTTGGGAACAAACCCAGGGGATGATTTAAGAATATTTTCATCCTTCAGTTTCTTCTGACTCAGGACCTCAAACTTCTGAGTTTGCTCTATGGAATTAGATGACCTGGGCTCAGATCTGGTCATGTGACTGTGGACAAGGCATCCAGCTTTCTTGCACCTAGGTTTCTCTACTTCAAAAACAGAAGAAAATCTTTGCTCAGAGACTTAAGAACTGCAAAATCTTACCATGCTTACAGTTGTGTCATGAGCATCAGACCTGACTGAAGATTTATCTGTAGAAAGCAAGACTCACTTTAAAAACTGGCTAGAAAGCAGAGAAGTAGGGACAGTGTTGAGAGGGGAAAGTCAGCTGGAGGATTTTAGTTTGAGTATTGCCTTATGAATGTACATCTCTGGCAGCTGCAAAGGTAGCTGTGGAAAAGTAATGCTAAGATCGATGTGCATCCTGGTGGATGGTTTCTGGGTTCAAGTAGTCAAGTGAAAGAAGGACTTAATAATAAAGGATATTATAGCTCATGAGGGTAACGTCTTAAGATCCTCATTAGATTTCCATTTTCCTTTCATGATTCATTCTCTTTGAAGAGAGGTTCTGGGCGGCCAGCAAGATACTATGATTTTGGTGGCACAGACTCCTTGACTGTGCTGTATGATCTCAGGGCCAAACTCTTCATATATTCATTTAGTCCACAAATAATTCTTAAGAGCCAACTCTAGGTAGGCTCTTCTAGATACTCTGAATAATAATAATAGCAAGTGTTTACTATGTGCCAGCATCCTTCTAAGGGTTTCATATATGTTAACTTATTTGATCCTCACTATAACCCATGAAGTTGGGCCTGTTTTCATTTGCATTTTACATTAGGTATTGAGCAATTAAGTATCTGCTTCAAGGTCAGTTAGCAGATTGAGTCAGGATTTGAACACAGGCAGGCTGGCCCCAGAGCCCATGCTCATGTGTATCAGGCAGCAGTGACCATGAGAGGTGACATCTCTGTCCTCACAGAAGAGGAGAAAACAGACAAGGCAACAAGTAATGTTATTTTTGGTACTGATGAGTGCTATAATGAAAACTAAAGCAGAGTAAGAGGAAAGCGTGACAGAAGGAAGGAGGTTATTTAAGATAGTGTGGTCAGTGTGATAGGTGAAATCTAAATAAAAGTCTGAATGAAAAGCAGAATCAAGCTATGGCAAGGTCTGGGGAGAGGCAGAAGGTGCAAAGGCTCTGAGATGGGAACAAGCTGGGAATATTCTGGGGACATGAAGAAGGTAACTGATGTAACATGAGGGAGACAAGAGCAATGGAAGGCCTTAGAGGACTTCACAAAGACTGCAGATTTCAATGTCAGGGTGCTTGCTACAAAGCCCCTGAAGGGTTTTGAACAAGGATGTAAAATGCTCTGATTTTCATTATAAAAAAGATCACTGGCAATGAGTAGAGAATAAACCATGGGGGAGGGGGGATCACAGAGGAAAATTAGAAAGGTATTATAGTGGCTAGTGTGAAGAAAACATAGACACTACTTTATTTTAGGCCTTCAGGCCAACATCAGCTCATACCAGCTTAGAGTAAGGTGGCGCTAGGAGTCTACTCATCTCATAAGCTAACTATGGTAAATGTTATGCTTGGATCCAAAAGGGAAGTGAACAGAAACTTCCCAGTTGCTGACGTATAACTGGCTAACTAATTTTCTGATGGAATGAGAATGCTTTCATTTGTGAGGGTTTTTCTGAGCAGGGTCTTTAGGGATAACATAATCACCTGCTGCTCTACCAGTTAATATGGAAGCCCTGGGCACTTGCCCTGGCACACCGTGGAGGGTACCCAGGCCTTGGCACATGTTGAGGCTCCAGTGATTTGAGTTTGCTTTAAGTGGATTCACTGGGGAAGTCTGATGACAGCCAGTCTAGTCTTTTTTTTTTTTTTTTGAGGGGGTAGTTTTAGCATTTCAAACAAAGACACAGACAAATATACAACATAAGAAATGGTGGAATAGCTTAATGACAGGTACTCTTTACCAAGCATTTTCTACTCTGAGCAACTTTATACTAAAAGATAAAACCAGCCTGTTTTGGAGCTGCTTGCCAACTTTTATATGGGAAAATGCCAAAAAATTAAATCTTTCTGAGTTTATGCAAAATAAGGACTCAGGATGCTTGTTTTTCCAAGTTCCAGTACTAAAGGATCCCATAAAATTCAAACACTGATGCCTGGAAAATGTCGTTCCAGTTTTCAAAATGGCAACTCATTTATCTGCCACTATCAAAGTATATGCGAATGTGCCGATTAGTTTTTTTCTGACTATCTTATTACCTTTTCATGCCCTTAATTAAAGATCACTTCCTACGCTTGTCTGAATGTGGCAAAGTTATTCTATTGCTAGATAACTATACAACTCAGAGGGTTATCAGAATCTGAAATATTCTATTTTTTAATTTTTAGTTTTCGATTAGAGTTGACATTTGATATTTTTTTATATTAGTTTTAGGTGTACAGCACAGTGGTTAGACATTTCTGTAATTTATGAAGTGATGCCCCCCCCGATTACTTTAAAACTCACCTGGCGCCATACAGAGCTATTACAATAATAATGACTGTATTCCCCATGCTGCACTTTACAACCCCATGACTACTTTGTAACTATCAATTTGCACTTCTTAATCCCTTTACCTTTTTCGCCCAGCTCCCCAACCCCCTCTCCCATCTGGCAATCACCAGTTTGTTCTCTGTATCTATATGTCTGTTTTTGTTTTGTGCATTCATTTCATTCCTTAGATTCCACATATAAGTGAAATCATATGGTATTTATCTTTCTGACTCATTTCACTTAGCTTAATACCCTCTAGGTCCATCCATAATGTTTCAAATGGTAAGATTTCATTTATATTTTATGGCTGGGTAGTATTCCATCTCTTCTTTATCCAATCATCTATTGATGGGCATTTAGGTTGCTTCTGTATCTTGGCTATTGTAAATAGTGCTGCAGTGAACACAGGGGTGCATACATCGTCTCAGCTTAGTGTTTCGGTTTTCTTTGGATAAATTCCCAGAAGTGAAATTGTTGGGTCATAAAGTAGTTATATTTTTAATTTTTTGAGGAACTTCCAAATTGTTTTCCATAGTGGCTGTACCAATTTGCAATCCCACTCACGATGCATGAGGGTTCGTTCCCTTTTCTCCACATATTCTCCAACACTTGTTCTTTGATTTATCAATGATAGCCATTCTGATAGGTGTGAGGTGTTATCTCATTGTGGTTTTAATTTGCATTTCTCTGATTAGTGACTTTGAGTATCTTTTTCATACGTCCACTGGCCACCTGTATGTCCTCTGGTGAAATGCCTATTCAGGTCTTTTGTCCATTTTTAAGTTGGATTGTTTGGTGTTCTTTACAAATTTTGGATATTAACCCCTTATTGGATGTATCATTGGCAAATATCTTAATCCATTCAGTAGGCTGTCTTTTGTTTTGTTGGTTTTGTTTTGTTGGTTTGATGGTTTCCTTTGCTGTGCAATAAAATGTTATTCTAGAAGAGATTGTTTCATTATGTAGGCAATAGAATAAAATCTTTAATTTTGACATAAAATGAAAACTAGTTTTTAATATTGTTTTTTTTTTTAATTCTGTTTAGAGTCAAGCATGAAGAAGAATATATGTCATATATCATGATATGATATGATTCAGCAAAGCTGGCAATCCTGATGGTAAAGAAGTCCTTTCAAAAACACTAGCAGAAATAGGGAAAATGGTAAGGGGCTTCCCCTTCGCACTTTAGAAATAAATTTACTACAAGAGAGAAAAATGAACAGAAGCAGAAATGGAACTTATAATGTGACTTGCTAAATCAAAGAAAAATAGTGAAAAGTATAATGTTTTTAGAGAGTGAGAAAATCAATTAATAGCAGGCTACTTTACTTTAGCCTTTAGCTCTCTAACTAATTTTGTAGAACGATGGACATATTACAGTACCCAGAAGACCAAGGTGCACAGATGCTCCGCTCTACCTCATGAGATAGAGATAGGCAGGCACAAATCGAGGTGATCTCTGGCACTTCTACAAGGTGACAACAAAAATATCTTCCAGCGTCCTTTATGGGATCAGTCCCAAAGTGGCTATTTACACCATTTGCATCTGGCAACAAAATTAGGTTAATCACCAATGACTATATCTTTAAGAAAAGAACCTTATCTTAAATTATGATTTTAAAATACTAGGAAAACTAGAATACATTTATACTCTTTAACATATGTCCATGTATAAACGTGTAATGTAAATATCTTACAAAGAAACATTTTTTTTGACATTTCCCATACTTAAAACATCAACCTTTACTAAGCTTCTTAAAGAATATTCCCTGGAAATTATGGAAAGCTGGTATTTTCCTTTATGTTCTCCTTGAATTCAATAATACGATAGGTCATCTATATGAGTTTCATAATCCTGTGGTGTAAATAATAAACACCAAAAGCAGTGATGTCTGATCAAAGGAGATGTGTCAAAGCGTCAAGCTCTTAATGAAAAACAATGTATCACTGAACCATCTTACCTGTCGACGAATCATTCCCAGGTCTCTTTTGGCTTTATTCACTAGAGTCTGAATTTCTACAGGATCTTTTACATTCTTATTTTCTCTGAAGGCATCTCTTATCCTCCTGATAGCATAAGTTCTAATTGAATTCAGAGAAAAAAAGAAAAGGTGTCAGTGTCTCTGAAGCTACGTTTTTAAATGAGTTTAAAAGCGTTTCCTTAGGAATTAACTGTCTAATATTCTCCAATGGATAATCCACTTTGATCTTTGCTTCTGGACAGGCCTATCCAATACTATTCTGGGATGACTAAGCAAACATATTTAGGGATATAAATCTACCCCAGATAAGTCACATATACATGGTAAACTGCTACTGAAATGCTCCTTAGATAACTGATTCTTTATAGATTTATTCACCTCTGGCTTCTCTCCATTAACATAGATAATTGAACCTATAATGTACAGAAACGAAGCAAGAATTAAGAGGTGAAATGATGTACCACATATGCATGCACCAAGACAGTGATCTAGGCCGGACTTGGGTCAGCTTTCCATTCCTGTCTCATATTTTGGCTGTTTCTTCCTCTTGTATAATGTAACATGTAAGGATTCACATCAGGATCCTTTTTCAGTCCAGAATGGAGATTACACCACTACGCTTTTCTCCATCTTTAAGGACATACATATGCACAAACATGCACAATCATAACACCGTCCTGCCCCTACATAAATTTATATGCAGTTTAGGACAGCAGTTCAAGGACAAGCCTTTCAAATCAGACAGGCTTGGGTTTGAATTCTTTCTTCAGCTCCTACTGTTTGTATAAACTTGGGCAAGCTTCTTAATATAACCCCATGTCTCCTTGTCTGTTGAACAGGCACAATCCTGTCTCTCAGGGTTGCCTCTCAGGGAGGGTTAAGTTTTACAATGTGTTTCTAGAATTTAGCACAGGACCTGGTATAAAGAAAGACAATAAATGAAAGCCGTTCTTCTTTATCTTGCTATTCCTTAATGCAATTAGTATTCGCCTCTCCTCATGTCACTGTCACAACACAGTGTGTACATAGAGGGTAGACTGGTCTGGATAATTACCCACAATAGATGAGTCACGAGTCATTAACTTAATATACTCCCACACTCAGACAGTCATAGCCTTGACCTCCAGGCCCACCCTGTCTGCACCAGATTGAAAATAAGGCACTAAGGAGAAGTAGCCCAAGTCAGACATATCAGACACTTTTTTCTCTAGTCTTTGTATCATCTTAGATTGCTCTGCTCTTAATTTTGAACATCAGCTAAAAAATCCATGTAAAACTATTAGTAACACTTAGAAATAGAAGAATGGAAATAGAGGCAAAGAAATGAGAGAAGGGGAATATAACCTCCTTGGAAGCTGGGGGTTGGGTGGGTATTGGGAGATGGATACAATTTACTGGGAAACCTTATTTTAGAGAGGGCTAATTTTGTTTTAAAAGCAAGAGTAAAATGAAATCTTATAATATTAAGAATCATAAAGGAGAAAGGAAGACAGTTTAGGAACTTGTATTTTTGGGATATAAGCCACTGCCGAGACTTTCATCTTAATCATATGTGAACCAAATTAAATATTTGTAGAGGAGCTTCTAGGTGCTCGGTATCAATTTTAGGGCAGCAATGACTGGAAATGGAATGCTTTCAAGAGGAGATGCTTTATAGCAACCGGGGCTCATTCACTTATAAAGGCATATGGAGGATTTTACTAATAGACTATAATAAATATAAATTTTCTTCATATATAACTACTACTTTAATAAGATTTAAATAGGCAAGCTAAAAGCAATTTCTGGTGTACTTTCTTGCAAAGCATAATGGTTATCTATATGACACAATATCACTGTTCTTTCTCACATTCCCACACTCCACCTAAACAGTTTCTTTTTTGGTAGTGATGGGAGCAGAAAGGGGACAACATAATTTAAATCTAATATTTTGTTTAACATGTGGAATTGATTTTATAATAGAAATTAACCCCAAGGGATCATCCACATTTAAATTCTTGATTCAGGATGCTGCACAGGCATTTTTTGGAAAAATAAAATGGGCAATAGTAGTTATCACTAAATTCATTTTTCTAAAAGCTAGTGACTAGCCTAGAATAGCTAGGAGAAACAGAGTATGACTTAGAATACAAAAACCTAAATTCTTTGAAAGTTTCAATCAGAAAATACCTTAAGATAGAGTTCACCACCACCAAACCAGTACTGCAAGAAATGTTAAAGGGATTTCTTTAAGATGAAAAAATACATATGTGAATAACAAAATGGCAATAACTACATACCTATCAGTAATTACTTTAAATGTAAATGGATTAAATACTCTAATCAAAAGACATATGGTGGCTGAATGGAGAAGAAAACAAGACCCATACGTATGTCGCCTTTAAAACACCTACTTCAGATAGAAAGACACACACAGACTGAAAATAAAGAGATGGAAAAAAATATTTCGTGCAAATGGAAATAAAAAAAAAAGATGGGGTAACAATACTAATATCTGACAAAACAGACTTTAAAGCAAGGCTATAAGAAGACACAAAGGACCCAGGAATTCCTTCTGGGTATTTATCTGAAGAAACCAAAACACTAACTTGCAAAGACTTAAATATCCCTGTTAATTACAGCATTATTTATAATAGCCATGATATGGAAAGAACCTAAGTATCCATTGATAGATGAATGGAAAAAGACGTGGTACATATATATGATGAAACATTACTTAGCCATAAAAAATGAAATCTTACCATTTGCAAGAAATGGATGGACCTAGAGGGTATTATGCTAAGTGAAATGAATCAGAGAAAGAGAAATACCATATGTTTTCACTTACATGTGGAATCTAAAACAAAATAAATGAACAAAACAGAAGCAAACTCATAGATACAAAGGGCATTTTGATGGTTACCAGATGGGAGGGAGGTTGGGGGACTGGGTGAAAAAGGTGAAGGGATTAAGAAGTACAAATTAGCAGTTATAAAATGATCACAGGGATGTAAAGTACAGCATAGGGAATATAATCAATAATATTTTAATAACTATGTATGGTGCTAGGTACGTACTAGACTTATCAAGGGGATCACTTTATAAGTTATATAAATGTCTACCACTATGCTGTACATCTGAAATGAATATAATATTAAATGTCAACTGTAATTGAACAAAAAACACCCACTTTATAAGCAACCAATAAACACATAAACTGGGAAAATATATTTTTGAAAATCGTATCACAAATGTATAATTCTTCTAACATTTAGAGAGCCACAAGAAATTAAAAGAAAAATACCAATAACCCAAGAGAAAAGCAAAGGCTATATGAACTGACAATCCCCAGAAAATAATATACAAATAGTATATAAAGATGAAAATATAGTCAGCTTCATTCATAAAAGAAATACAAATTTAAACTACATTGAGATATGAATAAAAAAATAGCTTAAGATACTCAACAATTTATATCAACTGAACTCAAGGTCCAACGTTCTAAATATTCTGTTGTGTATTCTTGTTCTCTCCAAATCTCCAAAGTCCATATCTCAAGGAATTAAATTCTAGATTTTCAAATTAAACATGTCTAAAGGTATCCAAAGGTGTTCAAATTTTGTATGCCCCTTTGACATGAATGATGTAATGGTTCCCTCTTCTCTTTCTCATTCTTTCTTCTCTTCCACCATCTAAAACACAAGGTGTTTTCCTTTGCCCTTAGAACAGAGATTTCATTGGTTCATAAGGATAAAACTACTACTGCATAAATAATTTTTTAGTTGTATGATTTATTTCAAATCATACAACTAAATATATCATAATTTTGTGAAGGCAGTAGTCACAAACCTGGCTGAATTTTCGCATTTTGTAGGAGAGGGCCATCAACCGATTATTTCAATCTTGCCCCTGCCCTGATTTTTATCATTTGCATTTTTTTTCACTGCTACTAAGGTAAATCATCTATCTTTGAACATATTCTGGCTATCAGCTTCTTGACTGTATTACTGAGAAAGAACATTTCAAAGAAAAATGTGCAGATGCTGCAATGAAACTGGCAGCCAGCTGCTACACAATGCCTTACATTAGAATGATCCTAATGTGAGTCAGATGCTGTTTGAAGTTAAGGCATGAAAAATTAACATATTAAGAGCAACAGAACAGCAACAGCTACAAACTATGAGCAAGCAGACGGCATTCACAGACTCAGTAAAGCTGTGCTGCTCACAAAATCACTGCTCTTCATCTTCCTGAGCACTGCAGAGTTTTAGTGTTTCCTTGTGCAGGAGATTCCACTTTGTTTTTCTCCTCCACCACAACCTTTGCCCTTCATTCTGCTATCAGACCTCCAGGTGTCCACAGGTTATTCTACTGGCTATCCTATCACCCTTGCAAGGATCAAACTCCTTCATGAGATTCTTTCACCATTCCAATTTTCAGCAGCAAAGCAATACAGCAGGTGGTAATGAAAGCTCTGTAGTATCTGAGGTCCTAGTCCTACTTTGCTTTCTCCTAGAACCACTGTCAGCCAGTCGCATGCAGGCTATAATAGCCACAGCTTCCCCAGCACTTGGAGGCTCACATTAGCTTTAGTATCTAAAAGGTGTGATCTGGAAACCAGCTGATGTATTATCCCTCATTTCTGTCATCCTTCGCCACTACCCCAATGCTGGTTTTTCTGCTTATTCTTCCTGTAAAAACATCTGTGCCTTTTTCTCTTTTCCCCAATCCCAAGTGAAGCATCCCAGTAACAAAACCACTCAATCTTTTTTATTGGCCTGTTTGGGGCAACCTCCCTCAATTGCTTGAAAGGCAATTGTCCTCCATCTACTTGCCTTAACTCACATGCACCATATGTCTGGAGACAGTGATTCCTTCACAGCCACGAAGAAGCTGCTGCTGAATTCTGCCATGCCTCCAGATTCTACAGGGCTGAGACAGTAGTGCCAATATGGATTCTCCTGCTGCTTCCAGATCATCCGTTTAGCCTTACACATCAATGAGGCTGTGCTACCTAAGAAAACCATGTGTATGTCTCCCACAACGCTGTTGCCCACCCTCTTCTTGAGGTCAACTTTCCTCCACCAACCTGAGGTTGACTCGCAAGATTCATCAAGCCTT